CAACTTATGAATAAAAAAACCTGAGTGGTTCTATAAACATGTTTTGGATTGACAACTGGGATAGGCAAATGTGTTTTGTGCCTGATAGTAGTCTGAATTATAAAAAAGGCTAACACTGACTGCAGTGAATTGTGAAGTAGAGTTCTGTATCTGCTAGGTCAACTGGAGCAAAGTAGCCTCAGAATACAGTCAAAGAACTACTAATGTAACTGGGATTGAAATTTCTTCTGGCTTCTGGAAGGCTTTGGCAAGGATGAATTGGCAATTTTTCATGCTCTTTACCAATGATTTCTCCAGGGTTTTCTGGAAATAGCAGGCTCATTTTAGTATCACCCAGGAACAGGTACAGATGAGTCCTTGGAAATCTTATCATGGAAATAATAACCAGCTTTTTCAACTGCAAACTTACAAGGAAAATGTTTTGTGCTGAATGAGTCTCTGGTGTTTAAGGCTTTTTTACTACTTTTTCAGAGACTAAACCCCTGATTGTGGAAGACACAAACTACTAAAATATTTTACTAAATATGTTCACTATGAAATTTACTATAGAAGAGATTAATGGAAGGCTCTGTATTACTATAGCACTCATACCACTGCAACATCATGCTAGAATTTGGCTGTCAGTGGGTGAATCTACACATCCATTAATGCACTGTAAAATACAGTGCATTACACCTAAAATGATAGGCACTAACTAAAATGCGCTGCAAATCAGTGCTACTGCACATTAGTGCAGATTAATGCTTTTTCAGTGACATTAAATGTGCATTAGTCTAAATCTACTGCACCTTAGCATGGGTTTTGTTTGCCACGCTAATTCACAGCAGAATTATTCTTCTGCACATTTAGCGTCTCGTGTAGACACACCCAGTATTTCTTGCATAGCAGAGATGACAGGCTTAAAGTCCTTACAAAGTCCTTCTAGTTCTTGTTTAACTTTATCATATCAAAGAAAAAATTGCTGCTTGAAGCAAGGACCATTCTGGAAGCCAATGCTGTTTGTTTAAAAAAAAAAAATCTGGATCAGGGTTTTGGGTCCAGATTTTAATAAACCCCAACGTTTATTATCCTCTCTCCTCCCTTCCTACTGTGTATAAAGGAAATTTGATCAACCATGATTGGAGGTAAAGGGAGTAAATTAAAAGGGGGACAGAACGAATTAGGGATGAATTTTGAAATATAGATTATTTCTCTCTTTCCATTTACTGGCTGGATGTAAGGTACTGTGCAACTACTATTCTACAAGGCCAAATAAGCACAGGGGAAAGAAAGATAATGTACACATACCTTTGAAGTACCCTGTTCTCAAATTTTCCTGGTCATTTTCATGAAGAATATTGTTGTTGTTCAAAAGAAAATAAAAGATTTTCACTTGGTTTATCTGTTTTTCTTGATCTCTTTGTTAAGGACCAGGCTACTGTCTTAAGAGGAAAATGTACCTTGTGGTTGCAACTAAAGAGCCTTTCAAATGATTTAAGGTACGAGATTAAATAATTTTTCTACCCCTTCTGCTAGGTTGAAGACAGAGGAGATGGTGATGTTTCTCTTAAAATCTGCCAGACTTCCCTCAGTATGTTACTTTGAGCTGTGCATTCAAGGTATACCAAAAGCCCTTTAAAACAAAAAGACTTCGTAGGAACTATAGAGATTTTTTTTTTAAAGTTCACTTTAAAGAAAAAGGGTCTTTGAGATTCAAAAAGTTTGGCACCTAAATTATAAATGCCGCAATTTTGATGTATATCTGCCCTGACAAAAGTCTGCAAAGAAAGATCCTAGCATCTTCCAGAAGAATCACTGCTACACTGCCACTTCCCCTGGCTTTATGATGATCTATAGATGAGAATAGGCCTCTCAGTTTAATCCTTCTGAGGATTTTGGAGCTTCATAGATGGTCGTCTTGTTTCTGCTCAGCAGCAGTGGTAAGGGCTGAGAGAACATTTCAACAGAAAGCCAAAAGAAGCACTTAAAGCCTTTTGGAGAAAAAGTTACATAATCCACTGGCTGCTCAAATTGTGAAGAAATACATTTTTTTTTTTTTTTTTTTTAAATGTACAGGTAATAGGAGAAAATTTTGGAGAATGGGAATGAAAGCCAGTTCTGCAGCTGTTGGAAGTGGAATATGTAGAAGCTAAACAAAAGTTGTCTCCAAATGGATACGCTTGCTATGCAACAATTTTGAGCTGCTCCCAAATTTCTGCAGAAATAGGAGAGTCACCCAGAAACTAGTGGAGATGCAATGAGCTAGAAATTTTTATAAAAAGATTCCAGAAGGCAAATGGTAGCTATTATTCTATACTAAACTGTAGTTGTATTATCAACTACAAGTTGATCCATATCACAGTCACCATTGCCTCCAAGCTCAAGCATTCAAAGCACACTTCAATTTAACGAGTGGAAAGGACAAACTTTTTCCAAGGGCCAAGCACCACCTTGAGAATGGGAATCTCAGAAGAATTCTAGCTTCGAGCAGCAATTTGGTTGATTGGTTGTCACTAGTCAAATGATACTATATAGCAGAAACTTTTGTTTGTACCAGTCTACTTAAAAATTGGATTCTAATTGTTCTATGACAGTAGTGCTCAATCTTCTGGCCACGTGGGCTAGTCTCCAGGCCAGATCAGGGTCTATGCTACCTCTGCCTTACTCTGCACTGCTGAATTGGGCCCTGCAACTGCCCTGCATGCCAGAATTGGGTCTCAGGGTCCTGTGCCACCCCACCTCTTCTGTACCTGAGATCAGACCATGTACTGCCCCACACACCAGGGCAAGGACCTACACCATTCCTACACAGCCTCACATGCTTGATCCAGCAAACAAGGTCACTTTTTCTGGCCTGCAGATTTCCCACAGGTCCAGAAATTTGACACCACAGGAGCAGTGCCATCAATGACCTGGTGCTGGGGGCCAGATCTGGCCTGCAGGCCAGGGGATAAGCACTAGGGCTGTGCGAAGCTTCGGTAGCTGATTTGATTCAGAGGAGATTTGGCCCAATTCAGCGACTGAATCGGAAGACCAATTAAAAGCTCCAAATCAAAATCGGA